CAAGGCACTCCTGTCAGATCAATATTTAAAAAGTTGGCATTTAGACATCACGTTTCTCGGGTTGCTGATGCTATGGTAACTTTAAAACGCGCGCGTTTTTTAAAGTTCGTTTTAAACACGCTGAGGCGTACTTTAAAAGTAAGTAAAAGTAAGTAAAATAGGGTACCAATAAAAAAAATAATGTTTTTGAAATAGATAATAGGTTTTTTATCTAGATATTCGATTTTCCATCTTTTAACAACGTAACTAAATACTGTTGCGAATCTATTTAATCGCTGTAATGTTAATAATTGATTTGTATTAAATGTACTTAATTTTGGTACTTTTTTATGCTACACGTGTTAAGAGATGGAAAAGTGACTGACACCGTGTTTTTTTTTTGTAAAGAGGATATCATAAAGAGGACAAAGCACTACTAAAGAGGATGTAAAGAGGATAGACTAAAGAGGATATAAAGAGGAATGTAAAGATGATATAAAGAGGATACAAAGAGGATGTAAAGAGGATGCAAAGAGGATGTAAAGAGGATGTAAAGAGGATGTAAAGAGGATGTAAAGAGGATAAAGCAACATTAAGAGGATATCGAGAAGCACTACATATGGTAGTTATTCAACCAGTAGATCGGAAGAACACCGCCACTAGAGTCAACTAAACATTTGTACCACGTTCTTTTGGGACTCTGGAATGAACGACAACACCCAGGAGGTGCCGCTTTCTCAACCACGTCCCAGTTAAGTGCTAGACCGTCTAACCCAGAGGTCGGCAAACTCATTAGTCAACAGAGCGAAATAGCAACAGTAAAACGACTGAAAATTCTTTTAAGAGCCAAATTTTTTTAAACTCAAACTATATATACAGATATCTGTACATTGTTGTTAACTTAATTAGGGTACTTTGCTAAAAGCATCCTCAATCTGATTGAAGTTCGTTCACTGAGATTGACCCTTTCCAACTCTCCCATCCACACTCGTCTTGTAAACTTGTTTCGTCTATCTCCTATCGTTCATCCTCTTTATACAGATTAGAAAAAAATTATACGAGCTATAGGCTATTGGCACTGCGAGTGAACATCCACATCTATATTTTGTGTACTACTACCACCCACTCTTGCGACCTGCGAGCGTGCGAGCTTATAGAAAGTTCCGATTTAGTCATGCATAAATTATCGTGGATATCATGAAAAACATTAACTTGATTTTAAATTAAATCTTAATTTTTTGACCATTAAGTTTACCATCAATGAAAAAGGGCCAATAAAATGGTCCCTTAAAATACCAGTGCAACCATTTAATTTCTGATGTTTATGTTTATTTTTTCAAGCACAATGTCTACGAATTGTTGATTGTACAATAAAAAAGTTGACTTATCGGTAAATACAATGTATTCTAAAAAGTTTTTAATTTGAAATACGGGTACGTTTTGAACTTAGTGATTTCCCCTTCGGGAACAAAATTATTCTGTACTTATTGTAACAAGTATATGTATGTTTATCTCAATGTTTATTGTACATATTCACAGATGTGATTACGATGCTCTTCGACGTTTTGCGAATAACTGCCTGCAAATAATAGAAATGTTCGTACCTACACCGTGTATGGCTCGTATAATTTTTTCCAAACTTATATATCCAAACAATCTCAACTTACCTTTCTCAATATTTGAAACTACATCTTCTGTCACTTCACAATGCTTTCTTGAAATTAACTGAATAAACTTTTAAGTTTTAGTTAAATTATAGGTGAGTTAAATAAAATTTGATATCATACTTAATAATGATGTTATTTATTGATAAAATTAAATTTTAGCATATTGAAAGTTAGTTTTAGTTATAGTATTTGTATGTTAGATGCATATAAGATTGGGTTAAACTCACCATTAAAGGTGCAGATACTGGTGGATAATATTAAAAAAGTACGTTTTGCAACCAGCGACTCTTGCGATGATCGCTTAGCGATCACTGCTGGGCACTGATAGATGTTATTTTATATACCTCCGTTTTCCTATGAGCGATCATAACAATAGTAGCTAGCGGCGAAAGCGGATATGTGTACTCGACCGGTCCGAGACCATATATGATCGCAGATATTAGCAAATATTCAATGAGAATGGTACTCATGAATTTTGTTTATTTCGTGCTAACAAATAACACCAGGGTTGTCGTAAGTTGGTTCATAGAGTTGTACTTAGGAGGTAGCGTGTTAAGTATGCTAAATGAAGATGAGTGTTAGCAAGAAAAAGAAGTTATAACTTAAACATCTCCTGGTTGAGCAAATGTTAGATAAGGAATTGTTTCAAATGTGCGCAGAACCGAGAGTCATAAGTCATCGAATATTTAAAGATAGAAATAAAGAAAGATTTTTTCAGAAATTGATCCTTCAACATCTACGTGAAGACGAAAAGAAATTTTCTGAATTTTTTAGACTCATTATCCCAGCGATTATATTCTCAGCTTGATAAGAGATGATATCAAGAAGCTTTCTTGCAACAGAAATAAGTAAATAATAGTATATTATGCAACAAACATTTAATGATAGCTATTAAGATACGAATATGAGAATTACGATACGAACCTTGGCGAGTGTCGTTATTAACACGAGGGTCTTAATAGCCAATAAATGTGAGTTTCATACATTATTTGTTCTGCGAACATCAATTCATAATAATAGGGAGAAATAAGAATATATATTCATAATATTAAAAAAACAAATAATAACAAAATCAAACAAAAACAAACAAAAACAAACAAAAACAAACAAAAACAAACAAAAACAAACAAAAACAAACAAAAACAAACAAAAACAAACAAAAACAAACAAAAACAAACAAAAACAAACAAAAACAAACAAAAACAAACAAAAACAAACAAAAACAAACAAAAACAAACAAAAACAAACAAAAACAAACAAAAACAAACAAAAACAAACAAAAACAAACAAAAACAAACAAAAACAAACAAAAACAAACAAAAACAAACAAAAACAAACAAAAACAAACAAAAACAAACAAAAACAAACAAAAACAAACAAAAACAAACAAAAACAAACAAAAACAAACAAAAACAAACAAAAACAAACAAAAACAAACAAAAACAAACAAAAACAAACAAAAACAAACAAAAACAAACAAAAACAAACAAAAACAAACAAAAACAAACAAAAACAAACAAAAACAAACAAAAACAAACAAAAACAAACAAAAACAAACAAAAACAAACAAAAACAAACAAAAACAAACAAAAACAAACAAAAACAAACAAAAACAAACAAAAACAAACAAAAACAAACAAAAAATGTCTCCTAGATATTTAAATTTTATAGTCAACTTTATTAACATCCATAACATGTATATTTTTAAATGTCTAATATTAAACAAAAAGAAAACTAGAATACATTTCTGAAATATTTTTATTTAATATTTCTAAAAGATTTTAAGTTTTTATTTCATAAATATTACTGTGAAATATTATATTTACAGGACATTTTTACGTTTCAGACACATTTCAGAAATGTTTCTGGGATTTTTCGTAATATTTATACATTACAAATGTTTCAATGTAACATTTTTGAAATATTTAAAAAATGTGTTTGTGCTGTATGGGACGTCATTTCATTGTATTGTCCAGAATTGTTAAAATAAAGAATACACACCTACCCAGACAACACACCAAATCCCAGAGATAACAACAGAATATCTTTTTTGTGGATATCCAATATATCCACAGGATATCAGAAATATTCCGTGGATTCAACAAAATATCTAATGGGTATCTTCCAGAAAATACAAGAAATCACATAGATATCCACAGAATATATTTTATGGATATTCAATATATCCAATATGGATATCCAACCAAATGTCCGTCTATATCCCAGGATACAGAAGATATTCGGATATTCAGCAAAATATTTTATGGGTATCTTTAGTAGAGGTTCATAAGTAACCAATGATTATTGAATAACGTCGAAAGAAAATAGCAGAGATAAAAAATATTTTCAACACTCAAAATATTTTCAACACTCTGCCTTTGATTTTGCCCAATAAGGAGAAAGTCATCCTTATTAGGACTCTTCAGCAATAAATGAAAATTCTCGACTCCAGTCTCTAATGGAGTGATTAGGACACAAATTTCGATCGAACTCAATTACGGGGGGTCGAGCATGAGTAGATGCGATAGTGGTATCGCCATCTATACTTAGTAAGCAGAATCAAATAACATCTAGTGGATATCCACGATGGTTTGCGTTCGCGCCTAGACTTTGATTTATTTAGTGGATGTTCATGGGATATTGAATACACCTTAAAAATAATAATTTTAAATATCTGAACGGTACTATTAGCCACAATGGCGAGCACAATGGCGTAATTTTTTAATAATTTGCTATATAATTACTATTATTTATGGACATTTGGTCTATAAATTACATTTCATGGATATAAAATAGATATCTACCATGGACTGGACATTCAGTGGATATTGGGATGTTCAGTAGATATCCAAAGGATTTGGTGTGCTGTCTGGGTAATTATATTTCTGTCACTCTTCCTACGATACATACAGGGATGGGATATGTGATTAGTAGTAAAATAAAAGTAGACATTTGGCAACTAAGTTTAAATTCTCTAGATTTATTGGTACATGTCAGATACATCAAATTTTAAACTTTAATATTTATTTCGTCGGCCTTCCATTGTTATAAAGGCGAACGGCAAATTTTAAGACATACATTAAATATGACTATATTTTTCTATAAATTTAGATACTGTTTCACAATTTATAGCCTAATTAAATACTTATTACTAACTCCCACTTCTTCCTGCTCACCCAGTTATTCGGTGCATGCTCCGCCTCTGGAGACCTATGATACAAACATGTGTATATACTTTAAAAAATACAAAACGTATTGCTTGAAAAAGGGCTTCCAAACTGAAACGACAACCGCGATAATACATCGATAGTAGGGGGACCACGATATTATTTAATTCACTACTTGGTTGTCGGTGACCTTGCAGTCTTTGTGAACTGTGGGGCTACCGTGGTGTGGTAAAATTATCAACAACATAATAGTGTCAGTTGTTTAGTAGACATTTTTTTCAATTTTGAACCGCGCAAATTGCTGCGTTATCTTTGAAGATAAAGAATAATAACAAATAGTACATAACTAGCTTTAATCAGAGTTATAGGTCTTTTAGAAGCATACTATAACAGTAACAGAATAGAACATTAGTTTACTTAATATGGATTTGGTTAAGAATGGTTGGTTTAGTGAAATTTCCGACTTATGGCCAGGACAATGTTTTTCTCTCAAAGTAAAAGAAATACTCTACCAGGATAAGTCTGATTATCAAGATATTTTGATTTTTGAATCGTAAGTATTTTTGTTTTTCTGATACCTAATACTGTTGATAAAATTTTGTGTTTTTAAAAACAACCTTGGTCTATTTGTTCAAATTTTGAATTAAATATCCAAAAGAATTTATAGAGCACTGGGTCCGTATAACATTAGGGATGTTAGAATTTTGAAAAAAATTGAACTATAAAAAGTACTCATTGTATATAGTAAGTTAAAAAGAAAGAAGTTGCGGAAAACCGATAATATTCTGTGAAAAATTGAATAAAAAATTGTATGATGTATAATGTTAATATTTCTAACCTAAGATTTTGTGATTTCCGTACACTGTTGCCAAGAGTTTCGGTTAAAATAGTCAAGTTCGATTACAATTAGATGAATACCGCTACGTTATAACTATTATTCGAATTTCTAATATAGGTATATCTATAACTTTCAATAAATAAAGAATGTGAGTTGTTTGGTTTAAACATATTGTTTCCACATTTTTATAATATTAACACGCCACTAAACCTACGGTAGGCCCAGCTGACAGGAAAACATCCCATCTACGTTAATAAGCTGCAATTTTAGGCTCTTTAAGCTCGAATGCAATATACTTTTAATGTGACCCAAATATCCATGCAACCGCCGAATGTTTGAAAACAGCAAGACTTTTATAGCACATCTCATAGAGGTTACACAGTAAAGTTCGGAAAACATCACACTAGCACTTTTACGGTAGTAATAAGATGAAGATTTTTACACACTTAGGTATTCTAATACAGATATAAAATGTGCCAAAAAAGTTATTAAGAAACTAAGAATTTTATCACATGCATCGAAATTAAGTATAATGATTTAATCATTTTTGACATTTTATTTTTCATATGTAGGTATTGTATTTTGTGAAATATATGTTTTTCTTCTTATAAATAAATTTAATAAACAATGAACTGCAGATTTTGTTTATTTTATTTTGAAATTATATTTAAAAAAATATAATAAATTCACGTGTTTCAATTAGGATTGGTCAAAGTGGGCGAAATCCCTTTATTATGGCTAAATTGTAAGTTACAATTATGTCAATATAAAGATGTTTTGCCTATTTATATTTACATTTATTGAATGAATCATACTGGAGTTGATTTTTGAAATATTGATGCATACTTAAATAAGTAATATTTCTAAAAATTCGTCTATGCACACATAGTCCAATGGACGTCCACTTTAGATCTATTTGAGGGTCAGGAAGTCCATATCCGGGCATCCAGTGTACGTCCGTTTATGTTAATTAAATTGACAGCTGAATATCGATACCCAGAGAACGTCTCTTTTTGGACTTAATTTTAAGTTTAGTAGTATTTTGACGTCCATCTTAGGTCATTATTTATTAAGCCTACCAGATAATACATATCTATATATACTTCTTTTTTTTTAATATAACTGGTCATTAAAAAATGACAAATTGAATCTATTGCATTTCATTCTATCAGCGGAAGTTTGAAATCTTATTCAATTATAACTGTATCTAGTAAAAAGTTTTCAAGTGGTTCCTTGGTCGAGCTCGTCTAGCGATTAAAAGCGTAAAACGATAATGGATGTGTCGTGAGTTCGATTCCTGCTCAGGTCAAGCAATTTTTAATTAAAAATAAATAAATGGTGTATAGCGGTTTGCGAAAATAATAAACAAATTATTAATAATATAAAATAGTGTTTGATGAGTTGCGGTTCTGTAAAAAAATGGGGATGTGGTCTCAATGGAAATATAATCCTGGGCGTTTTTTGAATGTCCAGTATTCGACGTCCAAATATATTTCAGAATTGGACGTCCTCTGAATGGTCAAAAGTGTGCCATTTGTATACTTCACTGGACGTCCATTGGATGTCGGAAGTCCAGAAAACTCATTTTTGGACGTCTGGACATCCAAAATTGTATATCGAATGGACGTCCAATGGACATATTTGTATTGTCTGGGTGATAGCCAGGCCAGGTATTTAACTCTAAATACATAAACCTTAAATGACATCTCGTTTAACTTGGCAAGAAAACATTTGTTTCTACAGAAATGAGTGATAAACTAAATAATATAAATCTAGAAATTCTAAAAATACATATGTAAGTACTTTTTAAACCTAAAAGCTTTGAAAATATATGCACATTGCAAATATTTAGTTAAAACTCTCAAACTTAATGTCTTTTTAATTGTTACCTAATTTTTTTTGGCACCCTTAATTTTATTTACCTTATTTTAACTTAAGTAAAAGGTAATTTAATTTAAATATGGGGCTTTTATTACATTTTTAACAATAAATAAACCAAATATTGAACAAATTTTATAGATAAATTATAAAATAATAAACGTCTTTTACTTTTACTACAAATAATTAATTATTACATAATGAATTATATTTTGGTGCCGAAATTTCACCATTGGTATTAACCCTAACTACTTCAATGTAAATAAATCACATTGCAACATTTGCGCATGGACTATAACAATAATTTCAGATAATTTGCCAAACTATTTCGCTCAGTGTAGAAAATAAACATGTTTTCTCAGCGTGCTAAGTTGTATATCAATCAAAGTCATGCTGTGAAAAAGGTAAATCCGATATCAAAGGCACCGACAGCTACTGTCGCTTCTCCTTGATCGGTATTCTCGGCTTGGACACTATATGTAAAATAGTATATTGAGGATGTAGTAAAAGCTCTATAAAACAAAATAAAAAATTTGAATAATAATTTCTTGACCGAAGCAGAATTTTATATAAATATAAATTTCCTTGGTATATTCGGTATTTTTCTTAATTTTCAATTGTTTAGCACAGCACTACATATCGTCGTTGAAGAAGTGAACCCACGTATGTGTTGATTAACCAACTTTACAGGAGAGACATAAAACGTTTTAAAAATTTGAAATAAACATAATGGAGCTACTTTTTTCTGCTAAATATACTATGATAGTCATATTAATTCAAATAATTGTGAACTGACAATTTTTTGATTTAAATCAATATTATATTGCACTTACGTGTTTTCACTCCAGTAAAATTGTAATTTATTAACACATACGAGCTTTCACTGATATGTAAATAAAGATAAAGAAATGAAACAAAACTTTATTAAATGTTAAAACAACACAAAAATTTAAAGTACAATAAAATGATTTTAAAAAACACCAGTTTTACTACTATTTTTTTAAATACTACTGCTTCCGAGAAGAACTTTTTTGTTTTTACCACCCTTAGGCTTATTAATTATTTTAGTATTATTTGTAAACACAGGCTGAAGAGGCTGAGTTCTTTTCTTTCCTTTACTGGGACTTTGTTTATTATTTTTCTTCCTATTCCCTTTTTCTGGTACACTAGTTTCCTTATTTTCTTTGATAGCCTTTTCTTCATGGAGGAGGTTGTCGTAATATGGGCCACAATCTAAAGGAATCACCTCTTTTAATTGTTGTAAGTGTTGCCATTTCGTATACTTTATTTTTATTGGTTCCTTTCTAAGTTGTGGGAAATCGGATAGATTTGCAACTGTGGAATTCGTTATTCTACCTGGTAGGTCAAGAAACTCTCCATAAAAGCTTAGCTTTGCTTGAATAGTTCCATCTGGAGTGTACTTTATTACTTTAATTTCGTTAACAGTTGGATCATTTGTCTTCTTTCCTGGTCGAATAGATGGATATTTCACCAGAGATATCAAGGCATAATCTTTTACAAAATTATATGATATTTCTTTTAATTCATAAGGCTCAACTCCTCTTACCCTCGCTTCTTTTGTGTATCTACCATAGTCACTAGGAAGATGGATAGCCTTATTTTTAATTTTATTCTCAATGCATGAGTGCACGGAATCAACCTCCATTTACCCAAATAGTATTAGTAGATAACTTTAATAAAGAACTCAATGTTATCAAACAAATTGCTAATAGTCACAATTATGATCAGAACTTAATAGATAAAATGCTTCTTAGAAAACAGAATAAACGTAATCAGAACAATAGTTACATAATTGACCCCCTTCCCAATATTGAAGTAGATAATCGTAAGTTTGTTTCACTTACTTTTATTGGAAAATTCTCATATCGTATAGCCAACTTGTTCAAAGATTCCTTCAGAATTAGCTTTAGAACGTCCAACTCGATCAGTAGCCTATTTGTTAGGAATAAGGATAAGATTGAACCTATGGATCAGTCTGGTGTTTACAAACTAACTTGTTTGAACTGTTCATGCTCATATGTGGGAAGGACCTTTCGTAATTTTAAAATACGCCTGAAAGAGCACACACGCTGTCTTAACACTAACACTACTGGTTTTTCTCACTTTGCTGCTCATTTGTTAGACACTGATCACGATTTTGATTCGAGCATTGGCTTCGACATTTTGCATATGACTTCTAATAAATTCCTTCTGAATAACTTTGAGAACCTGGAAATTTAAAAAAATAATAAATCTGGCCCCTCCTGCTCTCTGAATGCACAAATTCAATTTATTAGTACCCCAAAGTTCTCTGCGCTTATTTAAATTAATTTCAGACTTATACCCCCACTCATTTGATCTTCAATCAGTTACTTACCACAAATTAATTAACTCTCCCAGTTTAGATTCTCTTCTCTGTTTCCATTAATTTTTTGCCCACTCGCTGCACTCGCATCTTATTAAATGTTTATTAGTTTATTCAAATTCTCCCACGTGGTTGTCATACGCCAAAATTTGACCTTCCCCCTTTTTTTGACATTCGTACTTGTCAACTTAGTTTCCGTTTCCTGTAACAGTAATTTTTCTTTTGATTATCTGCTTCAAATTTCCCTTTTACATATGAATTTTCATATTTTCTTGTTCAGTGTTCTAATTTTCTTGTTAGTATTTTTTGCTTTCTCATTTCCCAGTTTAATATTTTTACTTTCAATAAATTTTGTCACCGCCCCCTATACTCACTTTCAGTAAATAACACCTTTGTTAGTACACTATTTATCCGCTAAATTTAAAATTTACAGTTTACTACATTGATTCGTTAAAAAATCTAGATAGATGTCTTGAGAGTCTGATAATTTTTACTTTTTACTTTTATTAATTGACGTTATATCCTTAAAAATTTTTAAACTGTTTGTGCTTGTAAAAACTATTTTGTGTTGTTTAGTTAATAATAGTCTTACATGTGTTTTAATTAATTTATTCAAACAGACATCTCGCGGTTTAACCTAACCTACAATATTTTTAAAAAATACTATTGTATTACATATGACTTTTTTAACTCGTTTTGTTAAACTTTTAGTAGCGCTTCCTTTATGGAAATAGTCAAGGTGGGTCAAGGTTATTGTTTAACTTCTTTTGTGTTTTTTCTGTTTGTTCTGTTATTTTGTATATGTTAAAGTCCGTTCATGCTTTTATAATTGTTTTTTATTACAACTGACTCCTTGACATTCCATTTAGGTGTGCCTGATGATGAAGTGACAGCTTCGAAACCGGTCGCCAATTAAATTGACTTGTGAGAAATAAAGGACCTTTTCTTTAACCCTTACACTTAATAACTTATTTGAATTGTCAAAGTTATAACATAGGAAATCGATAAGGCAGGATGCGAAGGTATTAGCTGTCAAGTCTGCATCAACCTCTGTAAACCAGTAACATCTTGCACAATGGGTATTTGCTTCATAGATACTGAAGTTATGAACACAAAGTTTAGTCTTAAAATACAAGGCGGAAGCATTTAAACTAGGACACACCTTCACAGCTTGAACGTCTTGTGTTAGCACAATACATTCCCCCTTTTCAGCAAGTTGTAGGTCAGTTGCTTTTTCCGACCTTGCAGCTTCTTTAAGTGTTTGGTGTTTGTTGTATGTTGACTCAATAATATTATTGGTTTCATACGCTATACAGGTGTCACACCTGTCTTTCTTAGGTTGCTGGAACCCAATATTCTTTTCATGAACTATTTTCTCGAAAGTAAAACGTGAAAGTATTTTTACGTCATTATCTCCACATTGTCGTACGTATTCTCTGTAAAGGCCACTTACTTTGTCACCAAAAATAGGTTCAATGTATTGTTTCGTTGTAGATTTTTTACAGTAGTGTGAGGGTAATTTGGGAATTTCATCTAGGAACCTACAAAGAAATTCTTTGGCTTTTTTTGGTTGGAATTTTGTGATATATTATTCAGAAAGTTTGCTTTAGTTCTTTCGTTTGTAACTTTTTTTGCAGCGCAAATGCCATGGCTTTCAGTATTATTGACCCAGTTTAAAACTGTCCACTCCTTTAATCCAAATGTAGAGAGAAACATTTTTTTACATACCGTTAATGCTTCTTTTTCCTTAGATTTTTTTATGGTGTAGGTTAAGGTATCAGATCTACGTGGTTTCTGTTTAGCCGATAGTGTGCAACGTTTTGTTATATATTTTTTTACCAGTGAGATAATCTATACTTTTTTTTGGTCCCAATTCATTTCACTCCAGAATGACTTAAAGATATCTTCTCTCTCTTTGTTCGAAAGCTTTGCACAATCCCTTACTTTTGATTTTTTACAGAAAGTAGAGTTGCAAGGTGGTCCCATTTTCCTTTCCTCTTTGCTATCACCTCCTCTTTTTCTCTTGTTTCCGTCACACTTCCATCCAATGTAGCTCTTCCCCTGTTCACGTTGTTTTTTATTCTTATTGTCAAACCAGTCGTCAGGACCTGAAACTCGTTTTCTTTTATTCACTACTTTACCGAGTTTTATAGAATTTTCTTTATCAGCTTCTTGGTCCTCTTCAACTTGGGCTTGCTCTTTGCGTACTTGTGTCTCAACTTCAGCTTTTTGGGATATAACGACAGTATTTACTGTGGTCTCTAATTTATCATTAGTATCTGGTTCATATTCAGTGACATCATAGTCTAGGTCATCTGTTTTATCGAGTTCGTCATCACCATTAAAGTTGTCTTGATCTTTGTCAAATTCAACATAATTTGTTAGAGTTTGTAAAACTACTGGTGGGCAGTTGTAGTTGATAGTAGATTCAATACTTGTTGAATACTTTTGGCATTCTTGTTCAGTATGAATGATCTCCGTCTGTCTTGAATTGTGTAGTGGGAATAACTGTACATGAGATTCGACGTCCATCTGACTGGAACTACAGGCTAGAAAACTTTTAACCTCATGATCGTCTAACATTGTGAAGTTTTCTGCTTTATTATTTGATATAATATCCCACTGGCATTTTTCTAAAAGTTCCTCTGTTAAAACAGGATTTGAGCTGCAGTGGTTTTCATCCATAGTTACTTCCTTTACCATTGCCATTATCCTTCCAGAACGAGACATAGTGCATTTTTGTGACCTGTATAAAAGAAAAAGTATTGCTGAAAATTTTAAAATTCCAAACCGAACTCATTAGCTTTTTCTCATTTCAACAAAACCGTATTTATTATGGTTTCTGAGATGTCAATATTTTGCCAGCTATTTCAAAAGCACCCTTTGCATAAAATAAATACTTAATTCCTTTATATCAAAATGGTAAATTTAATTTAGGATTTCCGAACTACAAACGACTAACATGATTTTTAATATCAAACCACGTAACTAACCTAATAGATAGCTATGATTTTTTATAACACCAAATTGTTTTGGAAATTTTACATGTGAGACCACGTATCTCATTTTCACAAAACAAAAGTTTAAGTTCTCATATTAATTATTAATATATAAATATAAAAATAATGTATTAGAATAAAATAGGATACTGAATTAAAAATAAATAATTAAAAACTTACATTATACTTAAGAACAATTAATAGGTTTAACTCATTTAATGAACACGTGGTAGCAAATTGTATAACCGTCTGCTATCAAATTCAACGTTAAACTAAAACAGAATAGATACGCGTTAACAACAAACCCCACCTAGAAGAATTATTTGGCGTAGGATGTGATTTATACGCAGATACAAGTAAACACAAGTGACTTACTGCTGAATAAAGAATAGAATCAGATACGCTTTTTCACTACTAAGTATTTACAGGAAATCACCAGAAATTTCACGTTTAGTAAGATACAAGTAATCACGTTTTTTGTTATTCAAAATAACAGAATTATTTTTTACTTACGAGATCTCACCTGAAAAATAAAGCGAATTTTTCTGTAAATTTTCATGTAATAAGTTTGGTAAAAAGTGTAGATACGAGGGTTTACTTCTTCAACGACGATATGTTTCTGAAAACTTTTCCATCTTCGGATGAAGTCATAAATTAATTTATTTTTTATTTAAATAAAATAAAAAATTGTATACATTTATTATTAAAAAGCTTCTGAAATCAAGTACCAATATCACACAAGTAGAGGTAGGTATTAATAATATGCAGGGTTGGGATAAAGTATGGAAACAAGTAAATATGTTTAAAACGAAAAGGATGATTTTTATGACGCACAATGACGCATAACGCATCTGATGCCATATTTTCTGTTTCTACTGTACTCTCGGTTTCACCGGAAATACCCTTAACTTTTTTAATTTAAAGGGGACACCCTGTATATTTTTGCAGATTTTAAAAGATCTTGTACGACACTGTACGAATTCGGAATAACAAGATCTTTTAAAATCTGCAAAAATATACAGGGTGTCCCCTTTAAATTAAAAAAGTTGAGGGTATTTCCGGTGAAACCGGAAGTACAGTAGTAACAAAATATGGCATCAGATGCGTTATGCGTCATTGTACTTGCCTGCAAAGTTTCATAAATATCGTCCTTTTCGTTTTAAAGATATTTACTTGATTCCATACTTTATCCCAACCCTGTAGGTATATCACAAGGTAACGCAATTACACATGTGCGATACCATAAGGTACCTACCTATAAAACACTGGACAATTGAACAAAAGTAGGTATAAATGCCGCGTTTGAGAATCCACATCGGATGCATTTTTTACATCTAGAGCGTTTTTTTATCCATATCGGACACATCTGTCCCATTACATTTACGTATACTGAATCACGTGATCAAAGATTTACTACATCTCAGATGCATCCGATGTGGATTCTCAAACGCGGCAATTGAGTATAATATAAGGAATATCTCAAAGGTTCACTAGAATCTAAAACACTGAGTGATGATTACACAAGGGTATAATAAAGTAGGGGAGAGGGGGGCAGCAGAAAAGAAGAAAATAAAAAAAAGATTGTAAAGCGTACCCGCGGTTCATTCAAATGTCCTTTATTACTTATTTACATTTTTTGGCATTCATTACTGTAAAAAAACTAATATTTAAATCATAATCAATAATCATAAAATAACCACAATATATTCCTTGAGGGGATATATTTATGAAAATTACTTTTATTATGCCTTTCTTTAATTGTTATTCGCCCATTTCGCATTCCGCCATTCCGTTTTTCATTTTTACGAGTTTGTCAACTTAGTTGTCAAACCTCTCTTTAAAATATCCCAGCAATAGTATGCAATTGTATGGATGGTATCGAGCTTGACAAAATCAAAATAAGATGTTTGAAATAACTCTAATCTCATGAAAGTTTATGGAAACTAGCAACATCGCTTTCATCTCATTGCGACGGTGGCTCCAAATAGTATGCTGAGGAAATAAACTTGTTACCAGTGCCGTGCATTTAAACGGATTATCTTATAAAGTAATTTATCTATGGTATAGCCTAGCCTTGCAATCAGTGTTGCCAACAGAAGGTAAATTTCCCGTTTTGCGGTAATTTTCAATACCAAAGGGAAAATGGAAAAAAAGGGAAAAAGTTAAAATACAACGGGAATTTTTGACTCCAATTCAAATTGTGAAAAATTAATGATTTAAAAATAAAATTAAAATTGTTAATTCTTTGAGATTTTTTAAAGTTTTGGTAAAGAATTTGTTTTTTAGATTAAACTTTTTATACTTTGTTATCTACGTTTTTTTTTTTAATAAAAAATATATTTTTTGAAAATATGTACATATGCTTGCACTTCTGGTATAAAACCGATATTGTTAACAAGAGGGAATTTTTTCATAAAAGTGGGAATTTTTAAGGTAAGTGGAGGGAAAAAGCTTACTTTAAGGTTGGCAACACTGCTTACAATCCGTGACCATTCGGCTATGCTATTCGGCTTAGACACATATGGCCTGGAACCATTGTGGATTGCTTGGCTTCAATTTTTATTTTTAGGACGAATAATGGTACCGCCTTAATTTTGGATGGAATAATTCAATGCACACAGAAAGATGAATTTTCATACCAGGAAATGATAACATTCATACCGCTTTGTAACCACGCCAATCCAGAAAGGGTGCTAATTGTAGGTGGTGGAGACGGTGGAGTTGCTCGAGAAGTTCAGAAGCATCCTTTAGTCAAAGAAATCATTCAGGTACGTTCGAAAAGTCAAAATATAATCACATTTTATTTTTCGAAAGTGAATTTGGAGTAATTTTTTATTTATTTATCATGATGCAAATAATCTAAATGGTACAAAACCTCCTACTTAAATTTTGTGGTTAGATGGCAAATCCAGATATGTTGGAAAAGGCGAAAATAAGTAAACAAATTTTGTCGGTTTAAATTCAATTTTTTTTTTAATTTTTTCAATATTTTGGTCTTTCAATGTCTTCTATCGAGTCTCCTATCTTCGTTCGACAGACAGCGATTTTAATGTAATGTCTCTCTCTATTCTATATGTAATGTGTTGAGTTCGCACATAAGAATCGCTCTCCTGATCAGAAGAAATTAACCACATCAAAGGTGTTACACAGAAGAAAATTAGGTCACCTGTTATTTTTAATTTATACCAATGGCATCGTTGATGTCGCAAGGGTCAATATGACATTTACCTGTTTGCTGATGATGTCCTTATCTATGTTTCTTGTAAGTTGTAAAGATTCAGATAACTTAGTAAGAGTAGCAAAAATAAAAAAAATAATATCACTCTACAGTCTGCTGCGTTCGTCATAAGTAAAGGTGCGAGTAAAAGAAGAAAGGAGAATATTCGGAGAAATGTCTAAAAATGTCATTCCACGTCAAGAAATATCTGGACGTTTTGGGAAGGTTCTAGAAGGTAGTTAAAAATTTTCGAGTTGGTTTGTCTTGGTTTTGGGAAAATTTACTAAAAAAGTTAATTTTTCATGCAATGCATCTCATTAGCCGGATAAGCTTCCATTATGCCTATTATTAAAAACTTTTAGAAATAAATATCTAATTGTAATATATGAAGAAAAACCTTAATAGACTTTTATCATCTGATGCTTATTAAAAAAGTTGATCCAAGGTCTTGTGAATCATTAATTTTTTTGAAATACATCTCATTAGTACGACAAGCACTCGTTATTCCTATTATGAATGCAATTTAAATAAATACTTAATTGTAATATACAGGGTGTTTATTAATTGAGTGCCGATACTTAGGTGATTTTAAGAAGAAAAGTTAATATCAACATATGTCGTAAATCTCATAATTTTTGAGCTACAGGGTGTTACAGTTTTAAGAAAAAAATATATTTTTTTTCATAATTTTCTTATCACTGCAGATATTTCTATGAAATTTTGTAAACACCTTTTAATCATTAAGGAGCATTTTTTGACGTATAAGATTTTTTTAAATTTTTACCAGTGACTTCCGTACGGGGTTTGAACTGAATATTTTTTAAGAAAAAAATGGTACGCCACTGCTTTTTCTAAAATCCAAAATTATTTTTGAAATATTCATTTATTTTTGAGCAAATTTGATCCATAGACTTGCTTTCGTACGATGTATTGTGTTAGCGTAAAAAAATAAAAACCAAAATTTTTTTTTCTTAAGCTGTTTCTGATATTTTGTTGAAATTTGGTAGGCTCCCACCATGCGTGAAAACACTTATTTTGGGACAAAAATTAATTTTCTACTTCCACCAGTGACGGCCACGTAGGCATCATATTGAATGTTTGGATAGAAAAAAAAAACGTACACCTCTGATTTTTTTAAATTCTATGTATTTTAAAAATCGGGATTTATTTATAGTAAAATGAAAATTTAAAATCTTGAATCTAAAACGAAATTACAAGAGAATACAAACAAAATAAAGAACCCAAATTATTTACAGTAATTGTTGGAAGTGTCCTCCACCCACACGTATGCAAGCATCTACTCTTCTTCGCATAGACTGACGCACATTTTCAAAGAATCCTGGGGTGTTTCTTATGGTTTGGCAGCAGACTGTTACACGATTTCGTAACTCTTCTTCGGTTTGAATCGGCACTACCTATACTAAGCTTTTCAGATGCCCCCAGAAAAAGAAGTCTAAACTATTAAGGTCGGGAGATCTAGGCGGCCATGACTGCGTTCCTCCGCGACCTATCCACCGATTGCGATAGGTGTGATTTAAAAATTCACTCACTCGTAAGCTAAGATGTGGAGGCGCACCATCGTGCATTAGCCACATCTGGTTTCTTAATAAAAGAGGAAGGTCTTCAAGCATTGGCGGCAGATCATCTTCAAGGAAGTGTAAATATGATTGTCCATCAAGTCTTCTTGGGAGAAAAAATGGGCCTATCAAATAATCATCAATAATGCCAGCCCAAACATTTAATGAGAACTGTTCTTGATGATTTGACTCAACAATTGCATAAGGGTTTTCATCCGCTCATAAATGGTTATTATGGAAATTTATGATTAAGTTTTGAGAAAAATTAGCTTCATCGGTAAAAATAATGTGCCTGTCAAATAATGGATTTTCCAGCAGGTTTTGAAGAAACCACTCACAGAAATTAATGCGCAACGGGAAATCTCTAGGGAGTAATACCTGGACTCTTTGAATGTGATATGGGTATAACAAATTTTCGATGAGAATTTTCCAAACAAGTACATGTGAAACATTAAATGTTGACGCGATTCTCCTCGTGCTAGTTTCGGGGTTCTCCTCAATTTCATGTAAAATTCCTTCTTCAAGTTCCGGTGTTCTTACTGTTTGATATACTCCTTTAGCCCTGTGGTCTACTTTTAAAGTTCCGGTCTCGTGAAGACGTCTATGAATCCTAGAAAATGTTCTCGGATCGGGTAGTACGCGATTTGGATACCGCTCTTGGTATATCCGTCTGGCTTCGTATGCATTTCCGTCTGCAAGCCCATAACTAAAATGCATGTCAGCTAATTCACTGTTCGTAAATTTTACCATTTTTTTTTCAGATTTTAACTCTTACTCTAATAATAATTATTTAATAATGTAAAATCAATGTCAACTTTATTGTCTTTATGAAAAATGATGACGCTTTACCCAGCCTACTAATGTTTATTTCATTTGCTTTAAGAGGGCAATAATGCGCTTACCATTTTTTTCTATTCAAAACGTAAAAAATTAATTTTTGTCCCAAAAAATGTTTCCACGCATGGTGGGTGCCTACCAGATTTCAACAAAATGTCAAAAGAAGTAGGTATCAATGAATTTAAGGAAAAAATTTGACCAACCACTACAATTGTTTTTATTTTTTTACGCGAAAACGGTGCATCGTACGAAAGTAAGTCTATGAACCATGTTTGCTCCAAAATAAATGAGGATTTCAAAAATAATTTTGGTTTTCAGAAAAAGCAGTGGCGTACCATTTTTTTCTTCAAAAATATTCAGTTCAAACCCCGTACGGACGTCACTGGTAAAAATTTAAAAAAATCTTATACGTCAAAAAATGCTCCTTAATTATAAAAACATGTGTACAAAATTTCATAGAAATATCTGGAGTGATAAAAAAATTATGATAAAAAAGTAATTTTTTTCTTAAAACTGTAACACCCTGTAGCTCAAAAATTAAGTGAGTTACGACATATGTTGATATTAACTTTTCTTCTTAAAATCACCTAAGGATTCACACCCTTAAGTATCGGCACTCAATTAATAAACACCCTGTATAAACCTTAATGAATAGCCTACCTTTGCTGCAAGGTATTTGTCGTCTAATACTTTAGCAATAATATTTTCGTGATAATAAAAATAAAAATATTTTTATATAATTTACAAAGACTTTCTTTCAACATACAAATAAGTGACAACTTTATAATTAAAATGAAAAACAGGGGGGTGGGTGGCACAGTGGTAGAGCCTCTGCCTGCGGGTCCAAGGGTCTCAGGTTCGAATCCCACCGTTGGCCGGGTTTTTTTTATTTAATTATTTAAAATTAATTCTGATGCCTTGGTAGGATTCCCCACTCGACCATTCATTGTTGGGTTCTAATTAACAGTGCTGTTCCTAAAGTGGCACAGGAAAGCCTACACAGAACACGAGGCAAAATAACCGTAGCAGTTGAAGCCGATGATACAAAAAAAAATGAAACAACAAAATACCTCGGTATTACAATTGATCAAAATTTAAAATTCAGTCAATAACAACCAAAGTTATAGGAAATATTTTTAAATTTTATGAGTTGAGGAAATTTATGACTAGGAGTTTACTAATTATTATTTACAACTTGCTGGTTGAATCTATTTTGCGATATGGTATAATGTGTACTATATGATATTGTACTTTAACCCCTTAATGTAATCCAAAATCGTATAATTTAAATTTAGCGAGATGCAAGTCAAAGGTTTGTAACTTATGTTGCTCCCAAAGTTTTTAATACTCTACCTACCAATGTGAGGAATATAACATTTTTTAAGCTATTTTAGAAGAAATCAAACTGAATATCACATCTAATATTGATACATATAAAAATGTACTCTATATCATTCTTCTTTTTTTGTTTTTGTAAATGTATAATTTTTTTTTAAATTTATATCTTACTCTATGTTTTATGTTAGTATATTAGCATGCCGAAGCACTGATGAAATATGCATAATTTATAATTTTATTGCTATTACTTTTTGCACATACATGTGCTTGCACTTAGGTGCATAACTAAATTTATAATTTTTCAAAACATTTGTAAACATCCATTGTTATTAAATTTAATTTAAATAAATAAATTATATTTGGAACAGTATCAATATCTTACTTGTCATTGCTCATATTGAATCGTCCCCACTCAATAAACAAATTCAGTATTAAACGTTTTAAAAACGATGAAAGACTTACCTTGATTAGCCCTTCTCCTAACCTTGATCCCAAGTTTAAATTTCTCCATGAATGATACCAATTTTGCACCGTTCTGTAAGTAGGATTTTTACTTCCACTGGCTAAAATCAATACCGTATTCTTATCAAATTTATACTGCTGTTCATAATTTTTTTTTTGCTTCTATTATTGTCATACTATCATTGAAAAATTCGAAAAACACATCATTTACATATGGCTTGGCTTGAAGAAATCGAAGTGTTTCAGCTGTTTCAAGAGTATGATTATGTTTAGAAGGGTAAAACGGGACAATGCCGGTCAGTAGACAATACCGGTCATCCTGTATTCCTGGTAAAAA